CATCTTCTATGCCCTTCTTCTTCTATGCCCTTCTTCTTCTATGCCCTTCTTCGCCCCTTCACCCTTTGCCCTTCTTCCTCGCCTTTCTTCTTCGCCCATTCTACTTCTTCGCTCATTGTTCTTCTTTGCCCTTCTTCTTTGCCCTTTTCTTCGCCTTTCTTCTTCTTTGCCCTTCTTCTACCTCTTCTTTGCCCTTTTTCTTCCTCTTCTTTGCCCTTCTTTGCCCTCTTCTTCTTCTTTGCCCTTCTTTGCCCCTTCATCCTCTTCTTCTTTGCCCTTCTTCCTCTTTGCCCTTCTTATTCTTCTTTGCCCTTCTTCCTCTTCTTTGCCCTTCTTCTTCGCCCTTCTTTGCTCGTCTTCGCCCTTCTTCTCGTTCCTCGCTCTTCTTCTTCCTCGCCCTTCTCCGCTCCTACTTCTTCGTTCCTTTTTCTTATTCGTCCTTTCTTCTTCTTTGCCCTTCTTTTTCTTCCTCGCCCTTCTTTGCCCTTCTTTCTCACCCTTCTTCTTTGCCCGTCTTCTTCTTTGCCCTCTTCTTCGCCGTCTTTTCTTTGCCCGTCTTCTTCTTCTTTGCTCTTCTTCTTTGCCCTTCTTCTTCGCTCCTACTTCTTCGCCCCCTACTTCTTCGCCCCTTCTTCGTTCCTTCTTATTCGTCCCTTCTTCTTTGCCCTTCTTCTTCGCTCCTACTTCTTCGCCCCCTACTTCTTCGCCCCTTCTTCGTTCCTTCTTCTTCCTCGCCCTTCTTTGCCCTTCTTTCTCACCCTTCTTCTTTGCCCGTCTTCTTCGCCGTCTTTTCTTTGCCCGTCTTCTTTGCTCTTCTTCTTCTCTGCCCGTCTTCTTTGCCCTTCTTCCTCTTCTTTGCCCGTCATCTTCTTCTTTGCCCGTCATCTTCTTCTTTGCCTTTCTTCTTTTTCTTTGCCCTTCGTCGCTCCTTCTTCGCTCCTACTTCTTCGCCCCTTGCTCGTTCCTTCTTATTCGTCCCTTCTTCTTTGTCCTTCTTCGCCCTTTGCCCTCCTTCTTCGCCCATTATTCTTCTTTGCCCTTCTTCTTTGCCCTTCTTCCTTGCCCTTCTTCTTCTTTGCCCTTCTTCTTCTTTACCCTTCTTCTTCGCCCGGCTTCTTCTTTGCCCTTCTTCTTCGCCCGTCTTCTTCCGCCCCTTCTTCGCCCATTATTCTTCTGTGCCCTTCTTCTTCTTTGCCCTTCTTCTTCGCCCTTCTTTTGCTACGCCCCTTCTTCTTTGCCCTTCTCCTTCGCCCTTCTTCCTTGCCCTTCTTTACCCTTCTTTGCCCGGCTTCTTCGCCCGTCTTCTTCGGCCCCTTCTTCGCCCATTATTCTTCTGTGCCCTTCTTCTTTGCCCTTCTTTGCCCTTCTTCGTTGCACTTTTTTTGCTACGCCCCTACTTCTTCTTTGCCCTTCTTCTTTGCCCGTCTTCTTCTTTGCCCTTCTTTGCCCGTCTTCGTCTTCTATACCCGTCTTCTTCTATGCCCATCTTCTATACCCGTCTTCTATGCCCGTCTTCTTCTATGCCCGTCTTTGCCCCCTTCACCCTTTGCCCTTCTTCCTCGCCTTTCTTCTTCGCCCATTGTTCTTCTTCACGCTTCTTCTTCGCCTTTCTTCTTCTTTGCCCTTCTTCTTTGCCCGTCTTCTTCTTCTTTGCTCTTCTTCTTTGCCCTTCTTCTTTGCCCGTCTTCTTCTTCTTTGCTCTTCTTCTTTGCCCTTCTTCTTTGCCCGTCTTCTTCTTCTTTGCTCTTCTTCTTTGCCCTTCTTCTTTGCCCGTCTTCTTCTTCTTTGCTCTTCTTCTTTGCCCTTCTTCTTTGCCCGTCTTCTTCTTCTTTGCTCTTCTTCTTTGCCCTTCTTCTTTGCCCGTCTTCTTCTTCTTTGCCCTTCTTTTTCTTCGCCCTTCTTCCTCGCCCTTCTTCGCTCCTACTTCTTCGCCCCTTCTTCGTTCCTTTTTCTTCTTCGTCCCTTCTTCTTTGCCCTTCTTTTTCTTCGCCCTTCTTCCTCGCCCTTCTTTCTCACCCTTCTTTGCCGTCTTCTTCTTCTTTGCTCTTCTTCTTTGCCCTTCTTCTTTGCCCGTCTTCTTTGCCCGTCTTCTTCTTCTTTGCCCTTCTTTTTCTTTGCCCTTCGTCGCTCCTTCTTCGCCCCTTCTTCGTTCCTTCTTATTCGTCCCTTCTTTTTCTTTGTCCTTCTTCGCCCTCCTTCGCCCATTATTCTTCTCTGCCCTTCTTCGCCCTTCTTTTTCTTCGCCCTTCTTTTTCTTTGCCCTTCTTTGCCCGTCTTCTTCGCCCTTCTTTTGCTACGCCCCTTCTTCTTTGCCCTTCTTCTTTACCCTTCTTCACCCTTCTTCTTTGTCCTTCTTTACCCTTCTTCGCCCTTCTTGTTCGCCCTTCTTGTTCTTCACCCTTCTTCTTCGCCCTTCTTCTTTGCCCGTCTTCTTCCTCGCCCTTCTTCGCCCATTATTCTTCTGTGCCCTTCTTCTTCGCCCTTCTTCTTTGCCCGTCTTCTTCTTCTTTGCCCGTCTTCTTCTTCTTTGACCTTCTTCTTCTTCTTCTTTGACCTTCTTCTTTGCCCTTTTTTTGCTACGCCCCTTCTTCTTTGCCCGTCTTCTTCGGCCGTCTTCTTCTTCTTTGGCCTTCTTCTTCTTCTTTGCCCTTCTTCATTGCCCGTCTTCTTCTTCTATGCCCTTCTATGCCCGTCTTCTATACCCATCTTCTTCTATACCCGTCTTCTATGCCCTTCTTCTATGCCCGTCTTCTATGCCCGTCTTCTTCTTTGCCCTTCCTCTTCTTCGCCCTTCTTCTTTGCCCTTCTTCTTCCTCTTTGCCCTTCTTCTTTGCCCCTTCTTCTTTGCCCTTCCTCTTCTTCTTTGTCCTTCCTCTTCTTCTTTGCCCTTCTTCTTTGCCCTTCTTATTCTTCTTTGCCCCTTCTTTGCCCTTCTTCACCCTTCTTTGCTTTTCTTCACCCTTCTTCACCCTTCTTTGCTCGTCTTCGCCCTTCTTCTCGTTCCTTCTTCTTCTTCCTCGCCCTTCTTCTTCGCCCCTTCTACTTTGCCCTTCTTCTTCGCCCCCTTTTCTTCCTCTTCTTCACCCTTCTTCCTCTCCTTTTACTTCTTCTTTGCCCTTATTCTTCTTCCTCTTCTTTGCCCTCTTCTTCTTCTTCTTCTTTGCCCTTCTTCTTTTACATTCTTCTTCTTTGCCCCTTCTTCCTCTTCTTCTTTGCCCCTTCTTCCTCTTCTTCTTTGCCCCTTCTTCCTCTTCTTCTTTGCCCCTTCTTCCTCTTCTTCTTTGCCCCTTCTTCCTCTTCTTCTTTGCCCTTCTTCCTCTTCTTCTTTGCCCTTCTTCCTCTTCTTCTTTGCTCTTCGCCCATTATTCTTCTGTGCCCTTCTTCGCCCTTCTTCTTCTTCTTTGCCCGTCTTCTTCTTCTTCGCCCTTTTTTTGCTACGCCCCTTCTTCTTTGCCCGTCTTCTTCTTTGGCCTTCTTCTTCTTTGCCCTTCTTCATTGCCCTTCTTCGCCCTTCTTCTTTGCCCGTCTTCTTCTTCTATGCCCTTCTATGCCCTTCTAGGCCCGTCTTCTTCTATACCCATCTTCTATGCCCTTCTATGCCCGTCTTCTTCTATGCCCTTCTTCTTTGCCCTTCTTCACCCTTTGTTCTTCTTCTTCGCCTTTCTTCTTCGCCCATTCTACTTCTTCACCCATTCTTCTTCGCCCATTGTTCTTCTTCACGCTTCTTCGCCTTTCTTCTTCTTTGCCCTTCTTCGCCTTTCTTCTTCTTTGCCCTTCTGCACCTTTCTTCTTCGCCCCCTTCTTCTTTGCCCTTCTTCACCCATTCTTCTTCTTCGCCCTTCTTTTGCTACGCCCCTTCTTTGCCTTTCTTCTCCTTCACCCCTTCTTCCTTGCCCTTCTTCTTCGCCCTTCTTCTTTGCCCGTCTTCCTCGCCCTTCTTCGCCCATTATTCTTCTGTGCCCTTCTTCTTCGCCCTTCTTCTTTTTCTTTGCCCTTCTTCTTCTTTGCCCTTTTTTTGCTACGCCCCTTCTTCTTTGCCCGTCTTCTTCGGCCGTCTTCTTCTTTGGCCTTCTTCTTCTTCTTTGCCCTTCTTCATTGCCCTTCTTCTTTGCCCGTCTTCTTCTTCTATGCCCTTCTAGGCCCGTCTTCTTCTATACCCATCTTCTTCTATACCCGTCTTCTATGCCCTTCTTCTATGCCCTTCTTCTTCTATGCCCTTCTTCTATGCCCTTCCTCTTCTTCGCCCTTCCTCTTCGCCCTTATCGCCCTTCTTCTTCGCCCCTTCTACTTTGCCCTTCTTCTTCCCCCCCTTTTCTTCCTCTTCTTCACCCTTCTTCCTCTCCTTTTACTTCTTCTTTGCCCTTATTCTTCTTCCTCTTCTTTGCCCTCTTCTTCTTCTTCTTCTTTGCCCTTCTTCTTTTACATTCTTCTTCTTTGCCCCTTCTTCCTCTTCTTCTTTGCCCCTTCTTCCTCTTCTTCTTTGCCCTTCTTCTTTTACATTCTTCTTCTTTGCCCCTTCTTCCTCTTCTTCTTTGCCCTTCTTCTTTTACATTCTTCTTCTTTGCCCCTTCTTCCTCTTCTTCTTTGCCCTTCTTCTTTTACATTCTTCTTCTTTGCCCCTTCTTCCTCTTCTTCTTTGCCCTTCTTCTTTTACATTCTTCTTCTTTGCCCCTTCTTCCTCTTCTTCTTTGCCCTTCTTCATTGCCCTTCTTCGCCCTTCTTCTTTGCCCGTCTTCTTCTTCTTCGCCCTTTTTTTGCTACGCCCCTTCTTCTTTGCCCGTCTTCTTCTTTGGCCTTCTTCTTCTTTGCCCTTCTTCATTGCCCTTCTTCGCCCTTCTTCTTTGCCCGTCTTCTTCTTCTATGCCCTTCTATGCCCTTCTAGGCCCGTCTTCTTCTATACCCATCTTCTATGCCCTTCTATGCCCGTCTTCTTCTATGCCCTTCTTCTTTGCCCTTCTTCACCCTTTGTTCTTCTTCTTCGCCTTTCTTCTTCGCCCATTCTACTTCTTCACCCATTCTTCTTCGCCCATTGTTCTTCTTCACGCTTCTTCGCCTTTCTTCTTCTTTGCCCTTCTTCGCCTTTCTTCTTCTTTGCCCTTCTGCACCTTTCTTCTTCGCCCCCTTCTTCTTTGCCCTTCTTCACCCATTCTTCTTCTTCGCCCTTCTTTTGCTACGCCCCTTCTTTGCCTTTCTTCTCCTTCACCCCTTCTTCCTTGCCCTTCTTCTTCGCCCTTCTTCTTTGCCCGTCTTCCTCGCCCTTCTTCGCCCATTATTCTTCTGTGCCCTTCTTCTTCGCCCTTCTTCTTTTTCTTTGCCCTTCTTCTTCTTTGCCCTTTTTTTGCTACGCCCCTTCTTCTTTGCCCGTCTTCTTCGGCCGTCTTCTTCTTTGGCCTTCTTCTTCTTCTTTGCCCTTCTTCATTGCCCTTCTTCTTTGCCCGTCTTCTTCTTCTATGCCCTTCTAGGCCCGTCTTCTTCTATACCCATCTTCTTCTATACCCGTCTTCTATGCCCTTCTTCTATGCCCTTCTTCTTCTATGCCCTTCTTCTATGCCCTTCCTCTTCTTCGCCCTTCCTCTTCGCCCTTCTTCTTCCTCTTCTTTGCCCTTCTTCTTTGCCCCTTCTTCTTTGCCCTTCCTCTTCTTCTTTGTCCTTCCTCTTCTTCTTTGCCCTTCTTATTCTTCTTTGCCCCTCTTCTTCACCCTTCTTTGCTTTTCTTCGCCCTTCTTTGCTCTTCTTCACCCTTCTTTGCTCGTCTTCGCCCTTCTTTGCTCTTCTTCGCCCTTCTTTGCTCTTCTTCACCCTTCTTTGCTCGTCTTCGCCCTTCTTTGCTCGTCTTCGCCCTTCTTCTCGTTCCTTTCTCTTCTTCTTCCTCGCCCTTCTTCTTCGCCCCTTCTACTTTGCCCTTCTTCTTCGCCCCCTTTTCTTCCTCTTCTTCACCCTTCTTCCTCTCCTTTTACTTCTTCTTTGCCCTTATTCTTCTTCCTCTTCTTTGCCCTCTTCTTCTTTGCCCTTCTTCTTTTACATTCTTCTTCCTCTTCTTCTTTGCCCCTTCTTCCTCTTCTTCTTTGCCCCTTCTTCCTCTTCTTCTTTGCCCCTTCTTCCTCTTCTTCTTTGCCCCTTCTTCCTCTTCTTTGCCCCTTCTTCCTCTTCTTTGCCCCTTCTTCCTCTTCTTTGCCCCTTCTTCCTCGCCCCTTCTTCCTCTTCTTCTTTGCCCTTCTTCCTCTTCTTCTTTGCCCTTCTTAATCTTCTTTGCTCTTCACCCTTATTCTTCTTTGCTCTTCTTCCCCCTTCTTCTTCGCCCCTTCTTCACCCTTCTTTGCTCTTCGCCCTTCTTTGCCCTTCTTTGCTCTTTCATAGTTACATAGGTTGAATAAAGACACAAGTCCATCAAGTCCAACCTAGTGTGTGTGTGTGTGTGTGTGTGTGTGTGTGTGTGTGTGTGTGTGTGTGTGTGTGTGTAGGTGCG